CCCGTGGACGGCAGTAGAACCCCACTGGCCTCGCACTCTATGCACCGAATGCCAGCGCTTTGAGCGCTACGAATCTAAGGGTTTCCACTACCGCGCACGGAGTGAAGACGAACACAGAGAAAGAGCCACACGACTGCGACCCTCCACGTCGGACTCAGAACTGACCGGTGAACGACGTTGGGACTTAATACGAGGACGAGACACGCGAAGTGTGCCGAAGTCTTTCTGCTCTAAACGAAGGGCCGCAGCACGGTGGGAAGTCCGGCAATATTTTTTGGATTGAATTTGTCTTTCTCTCTCCTTTCGCGCCGAGCTCCCGCGCGCATTTTTGCGACGCGCGAAAAACGGTCGACTTACCTCATCGGACCAACACGGGGGATTTCAGTTCCGTCTGTGTCCCCACACTCAATTTCCAAAAATCCTTGACACACCCCATCTTGCTGTTTTTCCGGGGCCCTTTTCCACACCTCTAGCACTCCGAACAAAAGACAGCACAGGGCGTGAGGTTGCGCGTCATAGCGGGTCGTCACTGTGGGGGGCCGGGCGTGTGGCAGCCGGGCGGATATGGTCCCGAAGTTTGCCTCTTGTGACAGGTTTGTTGCGGAGCGCTGATTCTCCCTTGGCTGACCCATCTTGGAGGAGCAGTGGTGTGTTCTGTGGCAAGTACAGGTCTTGTGATGCTTCTGATTGTCGGTCGGACTCGTCTTCCGAAGACGAATCTTCCAACTCCAGCGAGGTTGACCGACTGTTCGTCTCAGATAGCAGATTGATAACATCGGTGGCCAGTGTCGTGTCATGGTTCTCGCTGTCAGGCGGTTGCACTGGGGCCATGTACAATTCTAAGGTTAGCAAATGATGTGGGATCTGCAGTTCCCATGAGGATGGGACGGTGGCCAGTGCAGTTTGACTGTTCTCTGTGTGGAGCACAGTGGCCATTTCGAGGACCAGAACATGGGGCCAATGTTGGTCGTCAAAGGTGAAAGAGAGATCTGCTTCGTCAGTGCGAGAAACGACGAGAGATCTCTCTCCTAGCACTCGGGGGGTCACTGACCAAACTTTATTTATCAATTGTTTGATGGTCAGTATGGAGGTAGCCTCATAACTGTCAGGATAACCAATGACTGACTGAGATTGCAACCAGCATATGTCTGGAATCCAGCCTCTACATGCCGAATGCCAAGGTGCTTAAGTGTGACCCAACAAACCACTCGAAAACCCTGACAATGAATCCATGTTCTCTCTACCAGGTTTGTACCAGGCCTCATGCCCCCAACATGCCCGGGTTACAGGGCAGCACAATCTCGCCCCGCCTGCGGCCATCGTCGTCCTGGTCATGCCCCCCAGATGGCCACTGAAATGTCTCCCCCCAAGCAATTTCCCAGATCTCTCTACCAGGCCTCAAGCTCCTGCTAACAGCAGGTTACAGGTCAATCCCCCAACCCCCACCAGCGTCGTTCTGGCATCGACCATCCATGGGACACTGACCTTACGAGCATCCATGCCGTATCGGCTAAGCTGCTAGGCACCACTGAGATATCCCGACTTCCAGATTCCTGCGGTGAATCTCCTCTCTTCTTGAAGCTGCTAAGCTATGCTGCTAAGAACTTTCTGAAATTTCACAGGGCTTCTAGCGAAAACTAGGAGAGGGGGTATTATTAGAAGGATACCCAGTCCATACTTTCTTTTTTTTTTTTGAAACAAGCTCCATCTATTGGTGGGGAGCAGCACCTGCTGGAAACCGGGTCCAGCATCCCATAGATACAACCATATCCTCACTAATTGGCACCCCACTGGGAACCGGGCC